TGAGATACTTTATGTATTTAATTTTTTTAGGGTTAATCTTAACTTGCACTCTAAAAGATCACTCGAATATCAATTTGCACCCACAAAACTTAGAATATTAATTTACATTTTGAAAAATATAAATACGTATCAATGTGCATCTGTGACTAAGTGTCATCTATTTTGCCGTTAAAAAGGTTTGGATTAATTATAAATTGTACTCCTCAAAATTTAAATATTTCATATTTATGATGTAAAAGGAATTTCATTCATTAATGCTCGTTAAATAATTATCAATTATATCGTATCATATCATAACATTTTCGTGTCGTGTTTGAGCCAATAAAAAAAAAATTTGTGTCAAGTCAATTGTGTTGTGTCATATATTTCACATTTACGACAATTCACATAACACTATTTAATATTTTTTAAAAATTAAAAAATACCTATTTTTTTGTCTATATACCTGTTAAATAACTATTTTATGTCTACAATTGTGTTATTTGTATTTATCTTTAATTTGATCGGATAATGAAAAGATTTGTGCTTAACTATAAACAAAAAATAATTATTTAATGAGAATTAATAATGAAATTATTTTTGGATCATAAATATAAAAATATTTAAATTTTGAGAGATACAATTTGTAATTAACCTAAATTTCTTTAACGACAAAATGGACGAAGTTAGCCCCAAGTGCACATTGATATGAATTTATGTCTTTTAGAGTATAAATTAATATTTTTAAACTTTAAGTGTTTAAATTAAAATTTGAGTATTTTTCAGGGTGCAAGTTGAGATTAGTTTTTTTATTTTTTGCAATACTCACACCATATCAACGTCAGACCCAATATTTGAGCAACCTCATCACGTCTCTGTCATCAGAACCTCTGTTTATCGATAAGTCTGCATTTCCTTTAGAAAAAGTTTCGGAAAGTGGGAGAGAGATTGACGAATTGGGGCTGATGGGTACTGTGGAGGAAGAGAGCTTGATCTTAGAAGATGGACTTCTTCAGGTTGTAGCTTTCTCCTTTTGAGTCTCTCTCTCTGGTTATAGTTTAAATACTTGTGAGGATACCTACATTTCGTATATTGGTTAGATATCAAGCTTAAATTTTGAATTTTTAATCAAAGTAAATAAGATCATTATTCTTCTTTAGGCGATGTATGTTTCTATTGTTGATAATGAAAAAACAAAGGAGGAGTCGGTTTCTGCCCGTGGGGATTTGAAGTTGTAATTGTAATTCGAAATCGAAGCTTTTTGTTGGAATTTTACTGTTTGGATGATCTAATATTGATCAATATATTTGGAATTAAAACTATCCTTCCATTAGATCCCAAATAGACAAAACCAATTCCAAAGCCAATTCACTTTTTTTTAGAGTTCATAGAATTGAAATTCTGTCGCCAAGCCTGGTTCTGTGATGCAAAAAGGCTGAAATAATTAAATACAACTGAGCCCTTTCAAGCTTCAAACATGTTGCACTATTGTGGCATGAGCTAATCAGACCCTATAGCTTAGATGAATCGTTGTTATAGACTTTTTTCTGCACTTTATAGGTGTATTGGACTTTCATTTATTTAGTATATTTGTTTTAAGGAAAAAGATTACCAACTTTTTGAGTTCCTTAATTTTTCTGTGGAACATTTGGCTTGTCCATTCTTTCTTGTGGATGTGATGTGTAGTATTTGCTAACCCAGTTCACTAGTGTTGACTTTTTTTTTAGTCTATCAGTTCAGCTTTTTTTCTCTCTTGGATTAGGATTTTACTGCGATAGCACCCGAAATTTGAGTTCTAGTATGCCAGGATCATAGTTTTTGTATCCATTTAGTGGAATTTGTGCAAATGAAGTGTTGATATAGTGGTTGTGGGTAGACTATGGGATGTAAAGATGGATAGAAATCAGGGCGGACTTTTGGGATAAAGTCGTTTTGCTTTCCCCTTTATAGAATTCGCTATACTAATTTTCCGGGACAAGCATAAGAAGTAAACATAAATCTTCTTTAGTTGGTTTGGACATGTGCAAAGAAAATTTTCCTTACCACCTACAATTTTCTACAGTTGCCCACTGGTTGTATATGGGTTTACTCATTTATCTTTTTGATATTGTGGATGTCACCTGACTTGTCAAGGATATAATATTTGTTGTTTATCACATAACTTTTTCTCTTCTACCTTTAAGCTGTGGCTCATGCTGCACTTGTTAGTTGTTCACAGATAAGGTAAACTTAGGAGTGGAGGAGGCTGGTTGTAAAAGAAATCTATTAGTGGTCTATTTATAGTTGGTTGTGCGAACAAGATTTGGAGGAATCTTTGGCATTGTTGTTGGCCAATGAGTCAATGATGAACGTTATTTTATTTAGAATAATATAAGTTTTGAATCGTTCATATTTCAAGTTTATGATAGACTTCTAGAAATTCAAGTCATCCTCCTACTTTTGGGGGTGGTTAGGATTTGTTGTTTCGTAGAAGCGTAGAAGCTGAAATTAGTTGATTAGTAAAGGCTTAATTAGATCGTGGGCCTTGGCGCAATGATAAAGTTTCTCTGATATGGACTTCAAATATTCCTGTTACAAAAATAGACTCTATGTGTGGGAGTAAAGTTGCATAAGTCTAAACTTCTATGGATTTCGCAGTGGCGAGAGTCTCATACACTGAGCCACCCTTTTTAGTGAAGCTTTTATAAGAATAGCACTAGAAGGAAAAAGTTGTATACAAAGAAACCAAATTTTTTTTAAAAAGTTGCAAAGCCACTGCGACTCCTAAACAAACTCTCTCAATGATATGTAGAGAACAAGAGACTCGGGATACACTAAAACGAAAACAAAAGAAGACTTAACAAAAAAAAATTGAGCTTGTGTAATAGGAGCTCAATCTTGCCCAAAAGATATTATATTCCCCATTCTCCACAGAGAGCACATAACAGATAATCGGGTCGAACCCCACTTCTCATGTACTTCCTTTTCACACAAGCAATTCTCAAGTTGCTAAATGAGCAGAGCCACCACATAACCTGCCATGATCCCAATCAACAGATTCGTTGAGCAACTCTTGGGTAAACTATGACCTTATAAACTAATATGAAGTACTCCTGAATTCCCAAGGTACCTCATGATGTAAAAGTACATGACTTATTGATTTCTAAGTTTTTTCGCACATGCAAGAATAGTTCGCTATAATAGTTTACTGTCTTCTAATTATCAATGGTCGAGAAAGCCTAGTGAAAGCAACCTTTTAAACATGCATTAGTTTCCTAAAATACTCTCTAAGTGAAACCATCCATCATATCCCTATGAGTATACCAAAGTTGGAATGCATTGAAAGCATTAACGAGTCTTCCCATGTTGTAGCAAACTTATTTCATCCGGAATGGATAAAAGAGAATCAGATTTAGAATCCTAGGGCCTGTTTGATTTGATTTTCAAAAACTGTTTTTTGTTCTCAAAATTCTAAAAATAATGAAAAGTTGTTTGGTTTGGTATTTTGTTCTTCAATTTTTAGAAAAAAGAGGGAGGTGGAGCATAAAAATTGAAAACAAGCCCAACTTGTTTTCAAGTGTTTTGGAGACAAAAGAAGGGAAAAGGCAAAACACGGAGACCACCACTTTCTTTTTAATGAAGTCTCTCCTTTGAACTTCCTTAGTTGCAAAAAACATCTACTATAAAAAGATTTTTTTTTGCCCTTCTCTTGTTTTTTTTCTTTCTCAAGCCTTCCTCTCTCTCTCACTCCACTTTGGGAAACCGGACAAGACACACACAACATCTTCAGCAATCTCAAGCCTCTTTATCTCTCTTTCTCTCTCTCTCCAGTGATCTCAAGCCTTTGTGAAAGCTTCGACTTGCGACTCACAAACATAGCATCTTCAAGCTCTCTCTCTCTCTCTCGTTGTCTTTCTCCAGCGTCGACAATCTAGCGATAGGGTTTCAACCTTTTTTTTTTGTCAGGTTTTCTTTAGATCTGGGTTGATCTCCTTCAGATTTAGGTTGTTCTCTTTCAGATCTGGATTGATCTTATTTAGATTTGGGTTCATATCCTTCAGATCTGGGTTTGATTCCTTCTGATTATTTTTTTCTTTTTCTTTTGTGTTAGATCCGGCAGCTTCAAGCTTGAAGGCATCATCTCAGATCTATTGTTGCTTGGATTGTTGTGAATTTTTGTACAAATCTTTGTGAATTTTTTATTTGTGTGTAAACGGTTTGTTGGATTTTCTTCCTTAATGATTAAGGTGTATTGATTTTTTTGTGTGAATTTTTTATTTGAGTATGTTGAAGCCACTGTAATGGTGTATATAGAGGCGGAAATTTCCTTTTTATGTTTTTGTATTTTATCAAGTTTAATATATTAGAAAAATTTTATATGAAGCACTCAATTCAAAAAAGTTTTATTATTTTTTGTTTCGTAAAACTGTTTTTAAAATTATACAACCAAACAAGTTTTTCGTCTTAGAAAATATGAAAAATATTTTTCTAAAACTGTTTTTGGATACTCTTTTTTGAGATGCAAAGCAAACATGCCCCTAGTTTTGAATGCTTTTAGAATTCTAGGATTCCACACTGCCCTCCCTCCTTATGTGGTTTCATAATTCACCACACGAGCTTTTTTGACGACTACCAAGTGAAGTGATTCAAGGAATATACTCGTTGATCATGTCCAACAACCATTGCAATGCTTTGAGAACTCACCCCATTCTTTTTCAATAAACATTCACAATCCTATGCAATATGTATTCCTTTGCAATCCAATCACACTAACCACACACCCCAAACATTCGTCAATTACTCTTCTCCAAAGACAACTCTCCTCCCTAGCATACCTTCAGAGGCACTTCCCCAATAAAGCCTAACTAAACAATGGACAGTGCTTCATGCCAACCCTCCCCACTCAAAAGAGCAGATTTTGTGCCAACCAACTAGATGATATTTCAATTAATCCCCAAAGCCATACCAGGGGAGACTTCCGAAGCTTGCCTGTGGATGAAGGAATTTCTCAATCTTTCACTTTTGCTTGAGCCCAGGGCCTCATGGTTACATACTATATAGCTCAACAATTAGGCTGCATAGAGATAGACATTTTGTTCCTCCACTTCAATTATTGATATTATGAAGCTGGTTGAACTTTGGTTACGATTTTTTGTAGACGTTATTCCTCGTTATCAACAGTAGTGTGTCGACTATCTGTAAGTTTTTAATGCCAATGACTTAGTTGGCATGTTGTTCTTTTGACATGAATAATGTGATCACTTCGGTATTTTTGAGCTTACAATTTGACCTTTTTTATTGTTCAGGTGACTAGAAAACTACTTTAAGGTATTTGTACTACCATTTCTACATGCTGCATGCAGCAGTGGTTTACATGCATAATTTAATACTAGTTTTGCCTGAACCCAATTAGTTTCTAGAAAACAACGAAGAATAATTGAGAATGTGGAGTGGCAATTATTGTTTAGGTGGTAGTATTACTGAGGGCAAGTTGTTTTCGCATAACTAAATTTTTGATGAAGCATTTTTCTTTTTGGATCAATGACTCATTCTTCTGAGTTCATCTTATATGAGATTGTTGTTAAAGGGTTTGTTGAAGCTCATTGCTATAATGGTTCTCTTGTGAGAAACTAGGAGGCACGGACACTTAATTTTGGTCAGAGTATCGGTATTGGATACGTTTGAGATACATACATATTCAAACACGTTAAAATGAGTGTCCAATTTTTTTATTATTATATTTTTCTAGACACGTTGGGGGACACGTGATTGTCATGCTCAGGATACGTTGGGGACACGTGATAGACATGCTTGGGACACACGATCGATATGTTAAGAGGACACATTTTGGGGTTTTTTTTTTTCAAAATTTTCAAGACTTGCCAAATAACTTCATAAATAACAGAATTTTTTTTTTTGTAATGTTAAAGAGATAAGGATCAAAGATATAGAATAAAAGAGTTATAATAACTAGATTCACTACAAGAACAGAAGACACCAATATAAATATAAATTTTGGACACGATTATAAAATTGTATACAAATTGAATAAATTTTTTATATGATAGTAATTTGATGAAAAATTAGGGTTATGAAATTAGGGCTTTTTGAAATTGAATGAAAATTAGGATTACAAAGTGAAAGATTTTTGAAAATAAAAATTTTAGTAGTTATTGATTGTTGGATCATGAACGTTAATGATGAATGTGTATCGTTATGTCTGATACTTTTTTATCGATGATATTGTGATGTGAATTGTTAGAATTAAGAAAAGAGTGAATTGGACGATTATCCTTCAAATATATTTATTTTATCATATGATCATATATATATATACATTGGGAGTCCCCTAATGTGTCTGTGTCCTAATTTTTTGAAAAATAGATTGTCAGCGTGTCCATGTTGTGTTGAACTTTTGGTTATGTGGATGATAGACTCTCGTGGGGTAGTGTCACAGAATTTGCGAGGCAACAAGAGGAATATGATTTTTTTGTCTGAATCAGCATGTATATCTGTTTACCTAATGGTCTGGTTAAGTCAGTTTAGAAATGCCTTTCATCCCCTGCTTGTTATGTTTGGTCCAGTAAGTCACAGAGTTACCTTAATCCCAGTGGTTAGTGCTTGCAGGTCCTATTAGAACCTAGGTTCTGCAAGTTAAGATGCATTGTTACGGGATTCTTACATGCTGTTGCAACTGTAATGATAAGTCTCATCAATTTGGCAAATAAATATCTGCTAACTTTACCACCTTGGTGTGTAGGTACCTTCATGACTTAACATTAGAGCCCCAGCCAGTCCTTTCTTTAAACACTAAACTTTCAAGGCTTTAGTTATATTGTTTTTGATTATGATTTGCTTGCAAGCTGATCTTTAGAACCTTAATGGAATGACTTGAATTCCTAGGTGTTTTGTTATGGAGCTATTGTATTGGTATTTTTTGATCTTATGAAAGAGTTCAAAGTTAATAATGTCTTTCTCCAGATGTTAGTCATACTTTTTCAGACGAAAAACTACTACTTTATGCAGTAGATCTCTTGTAAATTTCAAATGTCACTAACTTTCATTGTTTTGAGTGCTGTTCATACATGGCTATTGTTGGATCATGGTATGACAATTGAAGGAAGAGCACTCAAGAAACTTATATAGTAGTAAAGATTGATCAGAAACTTATTAAGGAGCACATAAATATTATTGGTTGACAGATTTATTGAGTGTAAGTTAAAAAGGTTTCTCGGACTGCGATGTGTGAGCAATGTTGGCCAGCTAAGAGGAGTGCAGGATCTAAATGGTCAACCGTAAGTTATGATAAGTTCTCTAACTCCGTGTCAATTTGATTAAAAGCTAAGTTATTGGTTTTCCAGTACAACATTTTACCTAGCCATTCTAAAAGATGTTTTTTCTACTTAGACCTAATGGTTTCCTTCCCCTTAGTCCATATAAATTTTTTTGTCGTACTATGTTTCATTGAGGAAGTGTCACTTTTTTTCGACTGAGCAATTCTTTCTCAGTGGGCATGCTCACTAAAATTTTCTTCTTGTAGAGTGCCTGTAAATTCAAGCTGTGGAATTGAGTGTTGTTCCTAATTGGAAGTTGACCTACCTCAGAGTTAGGCTGGACAGGGATAGTGCAAATAAATGAGAATGAACCATTAATGGCCTTATCGAGTTGTTTTGCAAGGTGTGAAAGCATAAAATAGTTAGCATGGGATCTAGGGCAATTGCAAGCAGGGTTTGTGTAAACCAAAAGTTATGGAAAAGCTGTTTGCAGTCACTACTTCCTCTCCTCCTCAAGTAGGATAAAACTTGAGCCAGCTGTATTTAGGTGAAGGAGCAAATGGTGTCTGTATTTTTCCCAATCCTTGTCTTTGGGTGTCATTGTTTACCTGGAAATTGAGTCTGGCACTTTGATAACATTTGCTTCTGTCATGTATAGCTGAGTTGGTGTGGCATAAAAGGAACCCTTTGTTGAGCAGTGGAATTTGCAATGGAGTTTTCATCTCTTATGCTCTTTGCTAATGGTTTTGAACGTCCTGGTAATACATAAACATTTCCGTTCGATAATTTATCTTTCAACTCAAACTGGATTCCGGGCATACCATAAAACTTACAGATTATGTTGAAAACTTAATGAAACTTTGTTGGCAACTGCTAACAATTTGCAAATGTTGTGTTACTTTGTTTCATATATAAGTCCTGAGCCCAGATTCTTTGTTAGCGTGCTGAGTATGTGTTTTCTTGAACTTGCTCTGGGTTTCTTTGCTCTGATGAGATTATCTAGAGAAACGACTCATTAATTAGAATTACCAAAGTCACATGTAATTGTTTGATATATAAAGACAACTACCTGGTGTTGTATCGGTTACACAGGGTGCTGAACCGTTCTAATTTTTATCCCCCTCAGAACAATACTTGGACTTTGATTGAACTCGTTAAGTATTCCAACAATGCTATCAAGCTATCTTTTCTACTACTTTTCTTCTTTGAAGTTATTTATACTTATTTCATTCTTTTAAAACAAATTTCTTCCTTACCAAAAATAAAATGTTGAAAAAGTTCTTATGGCATAATTGAAAGAAACACTACATTTCTTTATCATGTAAACAAGGATATGTTTTTTGGTAGTAATGGTTAGTTAGGTTGCAAGAGGCCTCACTTTTATGAAACATCTTAAATAAATGGAATATATGGGCAAAATTAGCGGTTTCTTAATGGTCCAATATAATCTCTCTCTCTCTCTAGTTCTGTATATAACTATGTATGTGCATGTGTATGTGTACGTGACACCCACACCCACACCCAAGGGAGAAAGGCCTAGCTGGTGGTGAACTTGCACAACTGCATGCATCGCATGCATTTATTCTTGAGCATTGCAAACTCTATCCTAGGCTTTGACGGGAAAGATTGGTAAATTTGGTTCTTGCTGTCCTTGGCTGCTGGCTTGTTTTAATTGAGCCAAAAAAAAAAAAAAAGAATGCTTGGCTCAAATTAGATAACCGTAAGAGCTTGTCCCACATTGATAAATTATCACCTCCTTATCTAGTATATGAGTCTTGTGGGTTTTTCTACTCCTTGCTAATTGGTTTTGATTTGGATGTTTAAACATGGTAGCAAAGTTGGACTTTAGGAGGTTTTTGGGTAAGACTCTCATTGATTTGGTAATAGATTCTCTATTTGTTTGTCCTAAGTGCACTTGTTGTGTCGTTGATTGTGGATTCTGATGTCTCTCCACAAGCGAGTAAAAGGGTCTGGGTCAAGGGATTGAGCCTTGTAGGCCGCTCCACTCATTGCCAATTGATTTTGACTTGAATGCTTTCACAGTTGCCATGCCTACACACATATTGGTTATGTACTGTTGTGAAAATTGGGCATAATAGATAATTATAAGGAGAGTTCACATGATGTATTTTCTATCTTCAGAATGAAAACAGCGGACTCTACACTGGAGATGGTTCAGTGGACATTAAGGGAAACCCTGTTTTGAAGAGTAACACTGGAAATTGGAAAGTGTGTCCCTTCATTCTTGGTAAGTTTTCATACTTCTTTCATTTATTTGTTGTATTGCTAACCAATATATCCATCTGACAGTTTTGCATTGAAAAACAGGTACTGAATGTTGTGAACGTTTAGCTTACTACGGGATTGCTACCAATCTTGTTAGTTATCTCACCAAAAAATTACACGAAGGAAATGTCTCCGCTGCAAGAAATGTTACCACTTGGCAGGGAACTTGCTACCTAACTCCCCTGATTGGAGCTGTCTTGGCTGATGCTTATTGGGGAAGATATTGGACAATCGCTGCCTTCTCCACTATTTATTTCATAGTAATTATCAGATAAAGTGTCATGACTTTTTATTTACTTGTTTCTTCAAGAGATGGATGGTGATATGTGGTTAACGTTAACCTATCCTTGACAACTTTGCATGGTCCTTTATGAAGCACAATATGCATGAGCTTACAGATACCATGATCAACATTTTGATTTTTGATGGCTTTTAACTTTTAATATATGAAGAAATACATGATAGTTTTAATTAATCAGGTTATTGTAGTTGTTAAAAGAGCACCCAGTTCTTTTTAAATTATCCTTAGTTTAAGGGCAGTTGTTCTATAGGTTAGCATGGTATTGAGCTTAGTATGCAGCCATATTTCAAGTTGCAATATTTTACAGAGTTATTAAAGTTCTGATGGATGTGAATATTTGTTTGTCTTAGAACTGTTTAGGACAAACAAGTGTTTTAAAAAAAGCTCACCAATTGTCACACCACACCGAATTTTCAAAGTTCAAGTTTACAGTTCAAGAGAAAAGAATTGGTTCCAGTCAACAAAACGAAAAGAACTGGTTCCCAAATAGTATGGTTAATTCATGAATGATTGACGGACTTCTTGTCCCTCATATAAGCCTACTTTCATTGTTAATGAAATGCATTTTGTTGATTATCTCAAAAAAATTCTTGAATGATTGAGCTAGGTTTGTCTTTGCATGTGTAATGGGTCACTATGTTTCTACCATGTTAACTCGTGCATGTGTTGTAATTACTGTAGGGAATGTGCACATTGACTTTATCAGCATCAATTCCTGCTTTCGAGCCTGCTGAATGTGTGGATGCTCTATGCCCTTCAGCTGGTCCCGCTCAATATGCGATATTTTTCTTTGGGCTGTATCTGATTGCACTGGGAACTGGTGGGATCAAGCCATGCGTTTCGTCCTTTGGGGCAGATCAGTTTGATGATACCGATCCTAAAGAGAGAGTCAAGAAGGGATCTTTCTTCAATTGGTTTTATTTTTCTATCAACATCGGTGCACTTTTATCCAGTAGTTTGATTGTATGGATTCAGGACAATAAGGGATGGGGCCTAGGGTTTGGTATTCCTGCATTGTTTATGGGTGTTGCTATTGTGAGTTTCTTTTCAGGCACACCTCTGTACAGATTTCAGAAACCGGGTGGCAGTCCCATTACAAGAATGTGCCAGGTTGTGGTTGCATCCTGCCGCAAGTGGAATTTGGTGGTCCCCAGTGACAGTAGCCTTCTCTATGAAACACCAGACAAAATCTCAGCCATTGAAGGAAGTCGGAAACTGGTGCATACTGATGAACTGAAGTAAGTTTGTTGTGTTTAAATACTCATCAAGAAATCTGCGCATATATGGATATAATCATTTGATCTTATCTAAGAAGCACGTATGCTCTTACGAAGGTGATGTATCCGTGTCTCGAGTATGACACTTTCTTGAACACGTGTATGATGCTCTTTTATGTGTCTCCGTAATTAAGAGAGAAACTTTTATTTTGGACACATGTCTAACACCGGCGGCTTGTCTGACACATATTCAAGTTGTGTCGACTACCAAGATATTAACATGTGCTCAAATATTATGAAAAAAGCTTAAGAGTTTAGAGTTTAGCAAAATATTAGCTTTTGTTGAAAAGTAATTAACAAGGCTTAGAAAATTCACAAATGGCTATCTTGTATTATGAAAGAATATATAATTGTTAAGACTCTTCATGTTAAAGCTGTAGTTAAAATTTAGTAATGACAACAAAAGGTGCATAACATTTTTTCCTATGGAAGAGGAATTAAGAAGATGCAAGCATCCATTACAATTATGTATGTTTGCTAAAGATTGTCTATTAAGAAATTGATGATTGTGAGTATTAGGATCCTTTTGTCTAAAAATCCACATTTGTTGAGACATAACATTTACTTGTCATAAAACACTTAATTCATTTTAATGATAAATCATATAATATCCTATTCAAAACATAAGATTTTGTAATGTGTCCCTCACGTATCCGTATCGTACTTTTTTGAGAAATGTGTTGTCAAAGTGTCCGTAAAATGCCGTATCCATGTCCCGTGTCCGTATCCGTGCTTCTTAGGGTCGCATAAAATGGGGAATAAATCATTGTTCTTGCTTTCCTTGCCTTTTCTCTTATTAGACTTTCAAGCATTGTGACATAGTACTGCCGGTAATAATATAATTAGATGGCATATTTTGAAAATTACAATTGATATTTGACTCTTATTGTTATCAGACTATTCTGGGCATTTTTAAGGGAGAGACGTGGCTTGGTCTCTTGGTGTCATGGTTCAAAGTGACAGTCGATACCCTATATGATTCGGCCAGCTAAGTTGTATTTAACTCAACACCTTCCTATCCAATTCGTTCCATGATCTATGTACACTTCGAGTCTCATGCGATTTGGCCAAGATGTTTGCTTTGTCTACGAGTCAACTTTGAGTCTTCTGAGTCATCGTCACTGAATCAACTAATACTGATACCGCGATATAGTTTGAATCTCTTATCATGTTTAGCTGTTTCTAAGTAGCATTTTGTGCGTATCGCCTGAAACTGTTCTGTGACCCCATTATTGATGTGTCTCATTAGCCTTTGAGTCGTTGTTGAACCATGCCCGGTGTCTTTCACATTTGGCATAATTCTCAACTGCCCAAGTAACTACCCATATTCCAAAAAACAACACACTCGTGTTTAATGTATGGATTCCTCACAAGTTATCTGGAGATCCCTCATGCTTTAGATATAACTGAAAGCCCTGATAAATTTTGTATATCATAACGTAACCAGTCCTATTGACTAATTAAATAGAGATTCCCTGGCATTATGCAAATCATAAGAAAACAACTTGTAATAAATCGCTATCTCAAGCTGAAATTGGCAAAAACTAGGGTGCAAGCATGATGTGTGTCACAAGTTCTATTCTTATAAGAAGCGCAATGGAACTTTAACTTCCTTAAGACAACTAAATGCCTCCTCATTTATCTTTTATGTTCTTCCATACTGTACAAGCTTATGTTCATGCACTTAACTGTTTATAAGTGGTGCTGTATATATGCAAGCAACCTGTTTTCTGGAAGTTGTGAATGCTTCCCACCTTTTCTTTCACACAACAAACCTCCCTTTCTTTCATTAAAGAAATGGTTTCATTTCTTGGCAGGGAGTAATCTAGTTTGAAAGAATGATTAAGTTAATATGTTTGCTTTTAAATGCTTAACTCAAAGAGGACTTCTGAAAGTTTGTGGCTCCTTGAAGAAGAAATATTGGGGGACGGGTTTTCCAATGCGACTTACAGAGAAGTCATGCTAGCGAAATGTACTCACCTTCCGGTTGCACCTATTGGTTGCTAGGTTTTGGTAAATTTAAGTAGGCATTTTTTTAGGCTAAATTTATATACGTACTGATTCATACTTTTTTTAATGCTCGTTTGCATTTTTTGAAGCACTTTTTTTAAGTGGCATTTGTTTTGTATGTTTATTGCAGTATATTTTGCATATAAAACCTTTTCACAAAATGTTTAAAAAAAAAAAGGAAGAGAAGGGCAGCCCAATGCATGAGGCTCTTTCAACTGTGGAGTTTGGGGACGATCAGATCTACGCAACCTTATTTCCATATGCAGAGTGACTGTTTGTTACTCGAACACCCTAGACACCTTGGTCACAATGGAATATCCTTACCGTTGTGTCAAGACCCCACTCACTATGAACTAGTTTCGCAAAATAGTTGACACAATTTTTTACTTAAAAAATTAGTTCGAAGCAAGGTTTTTAAAATCGGGATCCTACCTTGGATTGATGGGGATGATTGTAGGATCGGATCAAGAAATCAAACCTTGTCTTTGTACTTAATGTAAATATATGATGATAGACATATATATAATATGCGTACCACAAGCTAAGTCAAATAAAATTGAGAATGTAGCTCAAAAGGTAGACCACTCATATTAATATTGTAACATTCAAGTTATAAAACAAAGACCAGCCAAATACAGTAGGGCTGTAATAGCAAAATCTAAAAGTTACAATTTAAGTTAAGGTTGTAATAGGGTAATATCACAAAACAGAGGAGGTAAAACTGATCCCAGACAATAGGATTTCAGAAACCCATATAAGAGGTAAACATTATGCAGAAAAAACAGTGAAAACACAGAGATAGCACATTTGGTTTCAAAATCAGTAAAAAAAATAGCCGTGTGGCTGTGTAAGAGTAGGATCGTGAGATCGTATTTGGGATCAAGATCCTACTATTTTGAAGCATCTGGATCTTGATCCACATCGATTCTACTGCCCAACGATTTTGTATACGATCCGGATTGATCCTAGGAGTTGGATCGCAATTTTAATAACCATGGTTCGAAGAAAAGATTATCAAATGGTATATAAGTTTTGCAACTTGCTTAATTTTTCCTGGAACCCTCTCATTAGATGTTCATAGAGCTTTGGACTAGATTCTTGTTGTGGGCTTCTTTCTCCTATAAAGTCGAACCTAGTTAGTCTTTTTTGACATAAAACATTGATGGATATTTCTAGGCAGAGCTTAGAGCAATATAGTTTGTTCCAAGGGAAAAAATGGAGTGGAGACTTCCTTTCCCATATTGCCTTTCATCTTGGGATGATATTTTTCTTTGTTGGAGCTAGAACTCTCCCGATTCATCACTAGGACTTCATTTTTATACTTTTACAATATAATACAAATGTTTGGGCTAAGTAGCTTAAATCTCTTTTTATCAAGGGTAAGGGTTGGAACTAGTTGATTCTGCACTCTCTACATCATTGACTAGGGGTAATGGTGAATAGTAGATGGCTTTTTCTTTTGCTGCTTTACCCTGTATGATGTTAAGGAATACTGGAGGGCAAGTGCAAAATGCATGTGCCAAAAGGAGGAGTAAAAAGGAAGTAGTTTTGTCTGTCTAGTCTCTTGAGAATATTGCCTGCCTTGCAGTTTAAGTTATGTTAACTTGGTTATGGTATCAATTTTTAGGACTCCTAATTTTTTTCAAATCTTCTACATGCTTCAATGGAAATTCCCAGGTGTGTTTAATGGATTCCTAAGGAGTCCAAAGTCTCCAAGAAAAGTCCTCACCAACTTCTATTTTTCCTGCAGGTGCCTTGATAAAGCTGCTGTTGTCTCGGATGCTGAAGATAAGATTGGGGATTACTCGAATCCTTGGAGGCTTTGCACTGTAACACAGGTGGAGGAACTGAAGATATTGATACGTATGTTCCCAATTTGGGCTACTGGCATTGTCTTTTCTGCTGTTTATGCACAAATGTCTACAATGTTTGTCGAGCAAGGAATGATGATGGACACAACCATTGGTTCCTTCACCATTCCAGCGGCCTCCCTTTCAACTTTTGATGTCATTAGTGTTATTTTCTGGGTTCCGGTGTATGATAGGATTCTTGTCCCAATCGCAAGGAAGTTTACTGGCAAGGAAAGGGGATTCTCAGAGTTACAACGCATGGGAATTGGCCTATTTATTTCAGTCTTATGCATGTCAGCCGCTGCATTGGTGGAGATCAAGCGGCTTGCGATTGCAAGGGACCTAGGTTTGGTTGATGAAGCCGTTGCAGTACCACTTAGTATATTCTGGCAAGTTCCCCAGTATTTCTTGTTGGGGGCTGCGGAAATCTTTACATTTGTTGGGCAGCTCGAGTTCTTCTATGACCAATCACCAGATGCCATGCGTAGTTTTTGTAGTGCCTTCTCACTTCTGACGACTGCTTTGGGAAATTACTTGAGCTCTTTTATACTAACTGTGGTTACATCTATAACAACCAGAGGGGGAAAGACTGGCTGGATACCGGATAACTTAAATGAGGGCCACCTTGACAATTTCTTCTGGCTTTTAGCTGGACTGAGCTTCTTGAACATGGTAATTTATGTATTCTGTGCTAAAAAATACAAGTCCAAGAAGGCTTCTTGAAGTTTTCAGATGATGGTGTTGTACCACAGCTGTTTGTGGTACTATTCAATTACACATGGTAGGGATATGATATGATCATTGTATGCTATTTGCGTGTGGATATACAAGTTCAAAGAAAATGTTTGTGTCATATAGAATTAAACTTGCTTGTAACAATTATATAAATTTAATCACTACAGAATACTCTCTGTTTGTTGTAAAAATCTTCCAAATAATTTATGCAGCAGTTCTTTAGGATTATATTTGAAGATGCCTGGCATTTGCAGTTTGTTTGTGCAGCAAGAAGATGGGCCCAGAGTTGCCTAGATCATTAGTTTCATTGTGTTCCTGGCTCCAGGTCATTGGTTTTCGTTTGGTACTGGGAACTAATTCATGCTTTGATGTGACTGGTATGTGAAAAATTGTGTACGCTGCAGATTAGGTGATTTTTTTGTTTTTGGTTTCTTGTTTTTTGTTTTTAATGAACACACAAAAAAATACATGTAATTTTGTAATTTTTGAACATATTTTACTCAACATTATACTGTAGTTGCAAGAGCCAAGAAGATCAACAAGCTCAAGTCCAAGCAAGCACTACCTCCAAAAGGGTTCTGATTGTGATGGTTTGTTATAGAAATCTCTTCCTCTTGGACGTGTTACTGAATCAATTGTCAAGAACCATGCACGGATGAAGTGATTCCGCTCACCGTTGCACTTTTCCAGAGTATTCAAAATTATCCAATGGTTTCGATGAATTACAAGAACCCCCAGCTTCACCCCCCCCTCTTTCCCCCAAAAAAAAAAGAATAATAATAACCCCTAGTATGGGTTTAGATTAATTTGATACTGTGTCGCCATGAACAATTGTTGTAATATTTTTTTAATAAATTTTTGGGGTTGTGGGGGTCAAACTAATTAGTTTAGGATTGATTCAAAGTATTCACAAAAGTTATAAATGATCCCCCAAAAGTAGAAATTTGAACCTTACAAATTAGAAGTTAACCGCTAACTAATGGTCATCGCCCTGCTGTTGCATTTTAAGATCGCGTGTTCAGATCTTGTTGCCTCCCTCCCCTGCATTCTGTACTGACCAAAAAAAACACAGTCAATTCAAGTCATTAGCAATCAGCTAGAGATTAGTTG